TAAACTGTGTCCGGGAGATCTCGGGGACCGGCACCAGTCCACAGAGCGGTTGTTGAGAAACACTGCATAGATGACCATGGAGAAAGGAACTTCGGAACAGCCGATTTATGAATGAGCTCTTTGTAAGAACTGAGGTCAGGAGTTGGGGCTGGAACCACACTAGATATTTCTTCACAAAGGAAGGAAAACTAATTTCTTCCTCACGCAGATGGAATTCCTCAGGCAGACAGAGGTTGGAGAGTGTCCAGGCTGCTCCGGAAACAGAGCTAGAATCTCCTTGACCACTCAGTAGGGAAAGACACAGGAATAAGCCTAAAAGGGACGTGAGGTGCGATCGAAGAGGCAGACAGATACTGAACCCCCCAGTCAGGGAAACAAAGAACCACAGAGAGAGAGAGAGAGTGTGTGTGTAAAAGACCCAGAGAACCCAGCAATGCCAACTGGCAGAGAGCACACCATCTCATAATTCCCATCAGCCCTGACACATTCACAGCCCCAACTCACTGTTGTCATCATCTGTACCTAAAAGGTGTCATGTCAGGTGTCATATGCAAACTGGTAACACACTGGTCATTAACATTATTGTGTGGTGCACGTATGGGAGGTGTACAAAGAATTATCGGTGTGCCTAAGCCCAGTCTGTCCTACACAAAGCAACACTGGTTTGCAGGCTTGACTGTCTCCAGTGTAAATTAGACAAGGTGAGACCAAAGCCAAGGAAAAGTACATTTACATGGAAGGTAAACAAAGCCAGCAGGCAAGCAACTGGGGGATGGCGGCGAGTTAACAATTTTGACCAGTGCTGGAGACTGCACCCCCCAGGAAGCCTTTCTGCCTCTTCAAACAGGGTCAGTGAACTTTAGGAAGATACAAACAGAAGCAAAAAGCCATTTTATTATCCGTCCCTAAGGGGACAATGGGGCATAGCACACTGCAAGCCTTATGAAAGTTGGGTCCTCAGGTCTGGAGGATTAAGGATGCTGATAACTTGGTGTCAGTAAGGAAACTTCTTTGGCAAAGATTGTAACTTGCTAGAATTAAGTTTGAGGCACTAGAAAATGTGTTTTGTTCATAACCATTCTTGTCTCTAACTCACTGCCAAAGTCACTGACAAGCACTCAAACCAAAAACTAGTAACAAGAAATTTAACGTTAAAACATGGAAGGACCCCAGGGTCCAAAAATAGGTGAAACAACTGTAATGAAGGGGGAAGGAGGTTCCTCTGGGCCTACTTTTTTTAGGTGTCACTTTGGCATATGGGTCTGAGAGCATGACCCCAGATAAGGTAACACTGTTTTTAATGGTCAGGGAGTGACACATGACTCGAAAAGAAGGGATGCATAAAGGCAATTTTCACTGCAAATTAATTTTCCTTCAGGAGTTATTTCAAAACATGGATTATTTCACCACCAGCTGTAAATGAATTTGCCTTTATTTGTACTTGCAATTAGAATATTTTAATCTAAGGATCTAGCTGGCATTTCTGCAAAATGTATCGTACTGAAATAAAACTGCCTTAGGGTATGTCTACACTATGAAATTAGGTCAATTTTATAGAAGTTGATTTTTAGAAACCGATTTTATACATTCAGTTGCATATGTCCACACTAAGTGCATTAAGTCGGCAGAGTGCGTCCTCACTACCGTGGCTAGCATCGACTTACAGAGCGGTGCACTGTGGGTAGATATCCCACAGTTCCCACAGCCTCCGCTGCCCATTGCGATTCTGAGTTAAGCTCCCAATGCCTGATGGGTCAAAAACATTGTCGCAGGTGGTTTTGGGTACATGTCGTCAGGCCCCCCTCCCTCCGTGAAAACAACAGCAATCGTTTTGCGCCTTTTTTCCTGGGTTACCCGTGCAGACGCCATACCACGGCAAGCATGGAGCCCGCTCAGCTCACCGTCACCATACGCCTCCTGGATGCTGCTGGCAGATGCGGTGCTGCATTACTACACAGCAGCAGCTCCTTGCCTTCGCGGCAGATGGTGCAGTAGGACTGATAGCCATCGTACGTCTCCTGGGTGCTCCTGGCAGACCTTGGTGAGGTCAATCGGGGCAGACATGGACAGCCATGGCTATTCTCCTCTTAGAACACCGAATGGGAGCCAGACGCTCCAGGTCATTCTCTTCTTTAAGTTTTGTCTCATGGAGATTCAGTCCTGCCTAGAATATCATGCAAGCTGGAAGCTTCTGCCTCAGGCTGCTCTCCCAGCCAGCAGCACCACATGGTCGCACCTACCCCAGCCTGCCCCTTGCTCCCATGGCTCACGAAGTCTGGACAGTAGCAAGGAGCAGTTCAACTATAGGCTGAGCAAGTGCAGAATGGTGGTAGAATGTGCCTTTGGATGTTTAAAAGCTCGCTGGTGCTGTCTGCTGACTACGTCAGACCTCAGCACAACCAGCATTCCCATTGCTATTGCTGCTTGCTGTGTGCTCCACAGTATCTGTGAGAGTAAGGGGGAAGACGTTTATGGTGGGGTGGGAGGTTGAGGCAAATCGCCTGGTGTCCAGTTTTGAGCAGCCAGACACCAGGGCGATTAGAAGAGCACAGCAAGGCGCGCTGCGCATCAGAGAGGCTTTAAAAACCAGTTTCATGACTGGCCAGGCTTTAGTGTGACAGTTTTGTGGGTTTTTCCTTGATGCAAACCCACCCCCTTTGTTGATTTTAATTCCCTGTAAGACAACCTCCCCCCCCTTTGAAATAAACTATTATTTTGAAACCATGCATTCATTCTTTATTAAAAAAATAACGGACAGGGTAGCCCACGTGGGGTGGGGGAGGAGGGAAGGACAAGGCCACATTGCTTACTGTAACCACACTAAAAAATCAAACAGTTTGAATGACCGCCTTCTGTTGCTTGGGCCATCCTCTGGAGTGGCTAGGTGGCCGGAGCCTCCCCCCACCCCTCCGCATTCTTGGGTGTCTGGGTGAGGTGGCTATGGAACATGGGGAGGAGGGTAGGTGGTTATACAGTGGATGCATCTGGGGTCTGTGCTCTTGTTGGCTTTCCTGCAGCTGCAACAGATGCTTCATCATGTCCGTTTGCTCCCCCAACAGATGCTTCTAGATGTCCGTTTGCTTCCGCATTAGCCTCAGCATCGTGTCCTGCCTCCACTCTTCGCACTCACTTAATTCTTTCCTGGCCTCTGCCACTGAATGCCTCCATGCATTAAGCTGTGCCCTATCAGTGCGGGAGGACTGCATGAGCTTGGAAAACATGTCATCACAAGTGCATTTTTTTCGCCTTCTAATCTGCAATAATCTCAGGGATGGAGATGATAGGAGGAGCGTAGAAACATTCTACGCTCTACGATTCTGGGGGGACTGCATGGTCACCTGTGCTGCTGAGTACGCCACGCTGACCAAACAGGAATTGAAATTCAAAAGTTCCTAGGGCTTTTCCTGTGTACCTGGCTAGTGCATCAGAGTTCAAAGTGCTGTCCAGAGCAGTCACAATGGAGCACTCTGGGATAGCTCCTGGAGGCCAATACCATCAATTTGTGTCAGCACTACCCCAAATTCGACCCAGCAAGGTCGATTTTAGCGCTACTTCCCTCGTCAGGAGGAGTACAGAAGTCGATTTTAAGAGCCCTTTAGGTCAACGGAATGGGGTTGGTTGTGTGGATGCAGTCATTTTTAAGTTGACCTAATGCAGCTAAATTCGACCTAACCCCATAGTGTAGACTAGGCCTTAGACAGTTAGAGTACAGGGATGCTGCACAGCTTCTCAGCTATACATTAGTTTTCCTTCCCTGGTCAGTCTAGTCCCTGTATTCTGATTGGCCTTGCTGTCACATCTGCATAAGCACTGTGGGGTTATTTCTCAGTGACATAGTTTGTAACTACCTGTCCTCTGCAACTGGCTGACAGCCATTACTAGTCAAGAATTCGCATAAACTTCACAATTCTTTCCAGCACTATTATGAATATGCAAATCACTTGACTCATTGGTTACTATAATCCTTCTGCTCCAGAACTCAGCATTTCCAAACTGTTAAAATGAGATACTTAAACATCTTTTTTATGTAGCTAAAACTGGGGGGGACCCCAACATTTACTTGAAAAGTGCAGGAGGGACACAGGGAAGGCCCAGAAATATGGGACTGCAAAATGTAGGAAAGGAAAAACTAGTCTCTCTTTCTCTTCTTCAGGTACAGTCCTGCTCACTTTAAGGTCAATGGGTATTTTTGCCAGTGACTTGAATGGAAGCTGGATTTAGCCTTCTGTAATCCCTTTCTCTCCCCCTCCCTTTGCAGGGCTCTGAGAAACTTGTTACTTGGTTTGTAGGGGGAAAGAGGCAGTTATTAGTTATCTAATAAAACTGGGAGTTAGCCCCTCTCAGTTTTGTTTGGAAACATAACCTAAACAAGAAGTAGGGTCAAATCTGGCTCTCTATTCATGGGAGTTGATGATTGATTATAACAAGACTATTTGCATAATAAGTCAACCATACAATCTGGCCTGTGAATTGCAGCTGTTATGGGAGAAAAAGCATTGCTGTCCTGGGGTGGGTGGGGAGAAATGAAAAGATGGAAATGAAGAGGAAGAGGAGGGAGAGAAAAGAGTAGGGAAAAACAGGGTCAATAGATTTTTAAATTCTTCAGCATGGAAATTTGAATAATTAAACATTGAAGCATAGCAGAGACTTGAAGCTGTTTACCTGGAACTATCATGTCCCGGGCTAATAAACTTGAGATCTTTGGCTTCAGAAAATTGCTACAAACACCTCCTCTTCCTCCTCAGAATTTATTCAACCACCCGGGTTATTTCTGGATTAAGCACCCTCAGATTATAATAATGTGCTCCATTTTTTAAAAAAGGTTCTGCTGACACCCCACTCGCACCCCCTCCAAAACCTGTTCCCCTTCCCACATCTAATGATTTTAGGATCTAATCTGTAACGTGTGCTAATTTAAGAGTAATTCCTTCCTGTGGTTTTATTTAAGTTTTTGTTTCACATTTTCTAAATGTATTACATAAAGTTCTAATACATTAATCACCATCTCATGTCATAGCAATTTTATTAAAAGCTTATACTTACAAATATGCATTCTGAAGGGATTTCAGGAATTTTTGCAATTTTCTCTGAACCAGGCTTGTTGAACCAATGGCAACAATGCTTGAGCTGTGTAGAGCAGCTTCCAGCAATAAAGTATATCTACACAATATATCTTGTCAACTCAGGCATGGATTCTTCTTGTGTTTAGTCCCAAAGAGTTATAAACAAGTTAGTTTTATCACAATATGTTGTGATAAAATACTTAACACAGCCCTATAAGTTACTGTACCTGATACCATTCCAATTCCAGAAGAAATTCCAAGAGATAATTCCCCTTACATGAAGTACTGGAAAATCTGTTAGCTATTTTGCAGTTAGTGTTTGCTTATTAATATGGTATCATCTTGCTGAAATCCAAGACTTGGTACCATGAGGTATTTTTCCACATAAAATTGCTAATGCCAACAAGATTGTCCAAATGGGATCATCATTATTAAAAATATTAGGCAGTAAGGAATGTAATTACTACAGTGATTGAATATGACAACTGCTAATCACAAGTAGAATCCTGGTACAAATCTCATTTCCAGTATACAAGAAAGGACACAAAACCTTTTTAACATAATTTATATACATTTATGGCTTTATACAACAGTAAAGGATTGTTCTTGTGTCTGTAGGTACATCAGGCACTTCTCTGAAAATATCCAAATATGAACTTTAATTCTGCGATGTTACTGAATAAGAGCAGTGGAACACAGAAGTGTTGTTACACCACCCATGAGTAAAATTAGCCATATTTACAAGCCATTCTCTGGTGATATTGCTGGTTTGTGGAACAACCCTCAAAAAGGAGGCAAGTTTTAATGCCAAGGTTTTTTGTTTGTTTGCATAAACCACACTGCATTTTTACGTAATGATTACAAAAAACATGACAACATCTTATCTAAAATCAGTTATAAATTAAGAATCCTAGCAATTTCATAATGAAAATATGAACTTCAAATCAGTAAAAAAATAAAAAAGTACTAACATACATCCAGTGGTTTAACAAGTGCAAATTTTATACTATTTTATAATTGGTCCAATTTTAAGTTCTCTCCTCTTCTTAGGGATGCTCTGTTGACTTAAGCCAATAATAAGCAGTACAACTTTTGCTTATACATGTAGGCAATTTGTCAGTTTATCAAAGCAGAGCTTTCCAATTAATGCATCTACTATCTAAACATATATCATATAGCTATATTATGGAAACAATACATCTTTATATTTAAAATATCTGAACAGCTCTATAATACAATATACTTTTAATAACAGTACAAACCAGAGAAAAGTCAAAACCAAAGCTGCATAGGTAAGATCATCTGCACAATTCACAAAGCAATCATTTACAATAATTCTGACAAACTAATTTACTCCAACAGTTCGGTACTTTTACTGAAAAGAATTTATTACTAGAGGTCACATAATGTTTGCTTTCATGACAGACAACCTACCCTTCATTAGATTTCACAGTATCCCACAGTTACAAGCAAAAATATTAGAACTTTGACACACAAACGAAATAAAAAGAAAATGCAGAACCAAAATTCCCACCATCTATAAGTATCTATTCTGATAATGATCAAACAGGACTTCCTGCAGCCTATTTTAATTAATGAACTGTTGCATCCAAGCTCATCATAGCTATAAAAGAAAGAATATAATTGTAAGTTATACAGTAGCAATAAAATTATAAGAGGTAAACTGTTAAATGTAGAATTTTCAGCTCCTGCACCAGAGGGTCAAATTTCAAAGGGTCTCTCTTTTGGCACATAGAGGTCAAATAATTATATGACTCAGTACTTCACTTACTCTAGTCAATTGCCATTGAAGAGCAAAAATTTTGCACATGCACCAAAAAGGAGGCTCTTTGGAAACTGGTCCCAGAGTCTTCTGCTCGTGCCATGGCCAAGAGCTGTGATCACATTTCAGATATCATTAATAGGGAAGTTATTAGACAAATGCAGGCTGTTTTAGTGATATGCCAGCACTGAGCACACACTGTAATTAATATCAAGAACTTTTTTATGTTGTGTTTGTTAATCTTCACTCTCCTGGCACATCCCACAAATGATCTGGAGAATGACGATGGAGAAGATGGGAGCTAAATTGGGATTATAATCACTTTCCAGTTATGGATCACTTGAAAATAGTACAGCAGAAAAATTCATTTCCATCCCTGGGCCTATTGTAAAAATTGCAAATATTGTAAGTGCAGAATAAAAATCCTCAGTTTTTTGGTTGGTTTTTGTTTTTTTAATAAACAATGTGCAGTAATCAGTGGCAGGCAGGCAGGCTTACCTCCCCTTTCATCCCTCAAAACACAATTTAACTATGTAAATACAGCAAATATTTACCAAGTAAAGGCCCAATCCTGTAAACCCTGCAATGGGCCCAATCACCTAAAAGTAAAGGTTTGCAGGACCAAAGCCTTAGTAACTAAAGCTATCCCTTCTCCCTAAAACTCTTGTGTTTATGTAACTTTGCTATTTCACTAATCTTCCCCACCCCCAGAAATGGAGAACAAATATGTCCTTGCCCTGAAATGTTATATAATGCAAGTTTTATCCTCCATGTAGTTTTATAGTAGCACTTTCAAACCCCCTAAAATAGGGTGCGATAATAAAAATGCTGACAGACCCTAAAACTAATGCTAAATACAAATGGAAATTCTGTCATTAACTTTATTAAAATATGAACATTCTTAAAACAAAGATCCTGCTTTTGAGTCCACAAACATTATGAGACCTCCATGAAATAAATACAACATGAAGCATTGTACAAGCATCTAACAATGAATACTTAACACTTTGTGGTAGTCAGAGTTAAAATGGTAATAGAAGCTGATGAAGTTTCTAAAAATGCATATATAAAACCGATTAAATATTTCCTAGACATGAAACGGAAAGTGTCTGTCTATACACATCACTCTTCTGCCAAAAAATATGGGACAGAAATGTTTTGAATGCAAGGTACTCAGTAAGCTTTTTTCTTTCTTTAGTAGCACTCTAAGGTGCTAAGCAAATATATAAAAATGTTCACTTCATCCAGTTAAAATACTGTATAAATGAAGGTTATGAATGCTGCCAGATTTTAGATTCTGTAAATTTTTTTTAGGTAGGCTATATAACAAAGTAAACTTTAATTATAAGAACAAAATAGCTTTATAACTATTCCAAATATTCTCTCAAGTCCAACAATACCATTCATTAATCTGGAAATCAGACCCACAAATATTTTTGCATAAATTTACATAATAAAAAGATCGGTAACATACCAATTGGTATATAATCTATTGTTTGTTTTGAACATTGACTATTCAATGACCTTATCTGGAACTTATTTACCAGGCCTCTGTTTTCTCATATGGAATGTGTATCAATTTTAACAAATACAAGGCAGTTCATACAGCTGCAAAACAATGTCCACAGTTGTCTCAATTCATCAGTTCAACAGAACACGGGTAACTTCAATAAAAGTTAAACTTACTCAGGGCATGAGACCACCACAGTATTACAAGAAGTTTATAGGTTTTTTTTGGACCAAACAGATATTTTTTTAAAAAATAATTCTCCATCTACAGCTCATACTGTACAAAAACTGAAAGCACAACATGATGCAAAAGTATTTTCTGTGATTATATGGTGTAGTGAATTTGGCACTTCAGAATAATGAAATTTCCAATGGCACAGTTCTTATCTACAGCAGCACATAACCTGCAAACACTGGGCAAACATCCTGTACAGGAAAAGTCTGTTTGCTGCCAATTTTGACAAAAGGAAAAAATGAGAACAGTTTTATCAAGAAAACTAAAAGAGGGGCGAAGGACATCTTTGGACTACTTTTCTCGGTTCCTGTTGTCAGACAAGTCTGAAGAGCTTTAAACTGTAGCCTAGGGGAAAAAAACAGAAAAAACACAATGAAACAAAATACAAAATTAATGTTCACAAAAAAGCAAGAGATAGAATACGTGCTCCAAATAGCTCTAAGTCAGACAAGAATGAAAACTTCCACCTTATTGTTATTTTTATATATATATATATATATATATATATATATATATTTTAATACTACTGGCTAGATGTCCAAAACTACTACTCTACCTGTCCAAATAAATGCTAGAAGTCTGTATTAGGTATCCTCATTGCATATGCGTAAGTGTAAAGTAATTTACAACCCATTAAAAAAGCTAGCAAGTTAGACAACAGTTAGATGGTAGATGCAGGCACATGACACTGCAAACCATTAAAGCTTTAAGCAATTCCAAATCTGTTAAAGCCTGTACTTTTCCTTTAAACTCATTTTCAGATTTTTTTTTTTAAATAGTATGAGAATTTACCTTGCACTAACTCCTAGCCCGACACCCAGCTATGTGTGGTGGTCTTCACACTGTGTGGAAAACTTTGGTTAGGCAACACACTGTCAAAGTTAAAATCTAATGTTTCTCCATCCATAAGGTCATTACGAATAATTGACTCCATGTCACAGTCCAACCGTTCAATTAACATGTCATCTAAGTCACTGGGAAGCTTCTCCTGATGGAGAGAAACAATTCCCACTCTTCCATAGCCATTGCAACTGTTAACAGCAGCATAAGGGTTCATTGTATTCATATGCATTGGGTGACTCATAGGCACTTGTAATGAAGTTTTCACCGTGGACAAACGATTTAAACCTGAAGTATGTGACATGGCATTCACTGTGTGAGACAAGGCACGACCATTAACTGCAACTGTTGGCTGATTACGTCCTTGGTGTGGGTGGGCATTGGGAGTCATCATCTTGTTGTGGGATGGTTGATTACCATATGTTGACATCACTGAATCTGAGACCATCAGCACATTTTGGCCCAATACTCTACCACTAGGTTGAGAAACACCAGTATCTACTGATGCCAAGATATCATTGTGCGGAGGAGAATCAGAAGTTAGTAACTCCTTCAGGAGTCCTGCAGGACAGTTATATTGGCTGATCGTTCCATAGCTTGATTTACTGTCTTGAAGAGTTTGCATAGGCATCTGGGGCAAAGAGTTCATGCCAGCTTGAGCATATGTAAATTTTCGGTAGTCTGGATTTGGTGAACCTATACTTGTGGTTGGTGATGCAAATGAATAACCTGGTGTTTGCTGCATCATTGTCGCTGGAGAAGACTGGGTCGATACGGTCAGTGATGTACTAGGTGACAACAGGTTGAGATTATCCAAAAGATTCTCCATATTTTCAGAATTGCTCATCTCTGAAAGGCTGGGTAGAGTAGAAGCCATTTTGGTTGCTGATGAAGGATATACCATAGAGTGCACATCCCCATCTCCAAGGTCATCTTGTTCTGGCAAGATTGGAGAAAGTCTTCCACTAATTGTACTAGCATTAGAGCTAGTTCTAGGTCTAAAGGTACTCCAGTTATCAAAGTCATCATTACTGTGGGAGTTGGGGCTTGCAGGCCACTTTGAAAACTGTGATCCTGGGCTGTCTCCATTTCCTTCTTGGCCTGACTGAAGGGCTGCCTTTTTCTTGGCAGCTCTTCCTCTGCTTTTCGCAAACTTGCTGTTGTTGTCCATGGATGCTGCTCTTCTCCTAGGTGACTTTCCACTTTTTCCTCCTTCAGGGTTGAGCATCCACCAAGAACTTTTTCCTGTTCCCTCATTCTGCACCCTGATAAACTTGCTGTGCAGCGACAGGTTATGACGAATTGAATTCTGAAAGATAAAATATGGGATAAGAAAAGGGCCAGTTCTCTTTATCTCAACATGTAACATTTAAATGAGCAAGCCATTCTGATGCTACTTGTGTGAAAAATGCTATAAAAATAACTATGACTGAATTACTGTACAAAACACCAAAAACTTAACTGCTGTACCCAGTATCTTTTTTGGAAAAGGAATATTTTGCTTAATACCATTAATGTAACCTATCTTTCAAATTGTGCATCAAACCTCATCTGATAAACACAACCAGGGGCACTACTAGCAGGTTCTGCTAGAAATCCTTATTTACATGATTTTAACTCCTTCACTGGAGAAACGAAAAATCCCTTCAATTTTTCATTTAGTTTGAAAACTTAAGTGTAACGGTAAAGCTTGGAAGGGTGCTAATTTAGAAAGATATGTATTGGTTCAAAACTGGCTTGAACAAGTTAGCCATGCTTTGTCATATAATTTATCATATGGTTTAATTGCATTTGACATGATAAAAAGAAGAAATTGGCATGTGCCAGAGGCATCAATTTGAAACATAAGAGGACACCAAAACCAGAAAAATTCACTGAAGAACTGGTTCACAACTTGATTGTATGAGTCCCTGCTAAAGTGTAGCCTGCATTTAGGCAATTTTATTAAACAAATGGATTTTTTAACCCAGTACATGAGGAACTGTTCCATTTCTATCTCTCTCTCTCATCACACATGCTACCCTGCAGTAATATCACAGCTTCAGGAGGGTTACTTCTAAACAAAGAAGATTTGAATAATTATACTTTTGTGACAAAATATTTATTAACACGACAAACGGTTTATTCACCAGTTCAAAAATTTACCCTTTATAAAAACTCCTAAATGCAGGCCTCATACGAGACTGGATTCATTATAATCAAGTTGTAAAAACCTATTTTTCTGTAATATTTCTTTTTTATTTTAAATAAAACTCAAAAATTATGCTAAAACATGGGATTGCTGTAAGACAGCAACTACAAGAAAATCCAGAGTTTATTAATATTAATGTTGTTGATAGCACTTTAAAGCTAAAGCATGACCCAGCCTCAAGAATACAATCACATAAGCCCCAACCTGCAAACACACACAAGTAGTCCCCGTTGAACTCTCTGAGCCTATTCACATGCATAAGTAATTTCAGGATCAGGTCCCAAGTTAAACAGATAAAAATTGCAATTGCTAAACAATGAGGAAAGAGCGAAGACAAACAGCAGAGAGGAAACATGACTCATGGAGAGTTAAACTTCATCCTTAAAACCATCTTTTTCTCCTTGAACATTTTAGTATGTGAAATTAACCATTCTAATACCCAAAGGCACAAGAGTTAAAGGATGACTGTACCTCTGCAAAGAGAAGACACTGCTCATATCTTCACCAGAGCCACTGAAGCTTCTAGCCACCTTCTGAGACATGAATGGCTTCAGAAAAGCCACTGACCCCAGGAGATCCACAGCCAGCCAGAGAACACTCTGAAATCTCATGCCATTGATAAGCAATTTTGCATAGCCTAGCCCAAGGCCCCCATTCCTGCTGAAGGCAAGAAAGGGGCAGCATGTCTGCCTAAATGTTCCTGGTATTATTCCTCAAGTACATGAGCCAAGATCAAAGGGGACCGAACCATCAGGCAGGAACCCAATAACTGAGGATCCCACATGAGGAATAGGGGACAGCATCCCCAAAAGACCGTCCTCATGCTAAGGCCATCTGACAACTGGACACTGGTCGGTGGAGGACAGACAAGTCTCCAGATGCACTTTCTCCAGTTCTGACCAACCCAGGGAGCTTTTTCCCCCTCCATATGCTGCTGCAGGGCCACAGCCCTGTTGTTACAATTGTGGTCTACCCCCAGTTGTGAGTTCAATGGTCAGAAACTGGGTGACAGCTCAAAATGTTATACTACCTACAACAGTGAGTATTGACAGAAAGGGTATGAAGAGATGCAGGAAGACTGGATTAGTGCAAATTAGTGGGCCTATCAACCAGACCCAAGAACTGTCATGACTTTCAAACAGGAGAATGGAACTGGAAAATGATGGATCAAAATTGGTGTGCTGGAAATTAGGCCTAATTGGTGGGCAAAATAAGATCTGAGAAGATGGCTTATTCTACCCATCACCCCCTTTTGAGGTACTTAAAGAGACACTTTAGGGATTAAAATGGCAAAATGGACTCCTCGTGGATTCCTCAGGAAAGGCTGGCAGGCCTCTGCTTCACTCAAGAGACTGTGCCCGTCTCTGGTGAGCCGCAAGGGTCATTTTGACACTCAGACCTCAGGACACGAGTTGGAACACCTGACCACCACTGCTGGACCAGCGAGAACTGTGGATTGATATATATGAGATTCTGCTCTGTCCTTCCTTCCCTTGTGTGTTCCTTTCTGTCCTCTCTCTCCCTCAGCTTTTCAACTGCACCAGCATAATGGAATAAGATGGCCCATCCAGTCCTTACCAGTCTGAGGAGGACTGGTGAAAGAGGAACCTGACCGGGGCAGCCAGCAGGGAAGCAAGCAAGCAAGCCAGGGTCTAGAGCAAGAGCGGTCATGAGTGGCCTGACAGCTCAAAGCATCTACCCGTGACTGACCAGCCACCTCAAGTCATAAGAACATCAACAAAAAGCCACAGTCCTCCACCATTACTATCTCTTCTTTCCCCCTTGTTTCTGGTTTGTCAAACGCAGGAAAAGTAACCACCAGTCACAGGGTCAACTCAGCATTTTACAGCAGAACTAACCCTTTCTTCCCCACAAAGGATTATTTCACAAAATAAGAGACTAACCAGTATCTTCTCTCTGAAAAAGGAACTTTTAATCACAATGAATCTCACTGAGTTATGCCAAACAACTTCATTTCCAAAATGCTTTATGTTTCATTTTTTATTCTCTCTCTGTCTCTCTCATGTATTCTAATCAATATAGTTCTAAATCCTGGTGTGACATTTCTAATGTGTTTGCCACAGGACTAACCAGGCTGAGGTCTCTGCACTCAAAACCCTGAGACATTTAAAAGTGCTTAGTGTTATACACTGACAGGGCCATGTTAACACCTTCACCTCTTTGGGCCCACTTGTTCCTCTGAAATTAATACAACCACCCTTTCCTCAAAGCTACCATCACTCAACTAATGAGTACATCTCACTGCCTGTACCAACACCCAGATGGAAGAGGTTAGCTTGCTGACTTGGTTGAGACCAGAGAAGGCAACTAGAGTATTGTCTCTCAACCATCTGAAGTCTCTAGCTGCTATGGGACCTGTCAGAGGATTCTCTTTGTGAGGAGGGGCTCTGCCACATGTGGAGATGAGCAGATATTGATGTCCCAGCTCTGCGACACCAATCTCTTTTTAGTCCACCTCCTGGGGCCACAGAAAACAGTTTAAGGAGGATGGCCTGTTCTTCTGTTCTGTCTAAAGGAGAAAGGGTAGCAATACCTTCCTGACAATGGCTCTAGCAACTTGGGGCATCTCAAGGGGCACACTGTCCCTCTTTTTCCATGCAATGGTGGCAGAGGCAGATCTATACCCAGATGGAGATACAATATGCAGCCAGCAAGTCAGCAGTGGCAGGCTCCTCTCCCACGCTAGCTACTGAAGATGCTTTCAGGGTCAGGTACACTGAAGATCTTCAAGACTTCAAAAACAAAGCTAAGAGTATCTGCCAAAGGCTCTGCTGCAAATGTGAGCTGCCTCACTGCTGCAGGGAATCTAGAAGAATTTTAGAAACAAAAAAAGTTTAAAATTGTCTTTTTAAAAGGTAAAAAGTAATACAATTAAAAAAATACATATCAATATTAAGGCCAGAATTTCCACCCTCCATTGTGAAGGGGATGTTTTTGTTTGTTTGAAACAGGCTCTCTAAGATGAAATAGTTAGAATGGGGATATGCCCTTCTTTGGCATACTACATCTTTCATCTCTGATCCGAGGATACGTACTCTAGTTAGAACAGTGGGGATCACCATTTTTTATTCTCATATAAGGGCCTGACCCTGTTAGGTGATAATACTGCCTGCTGATGCTGTGTACCTCTTAACCACCATCATATTTGCTGGGAGTTTAGGGCTCTCAGTACCTTGCTGTACCCAGATCGAATGCCCTTCTCTTCACCACACCTGGCATCTTAGCTATTGGCTACAAGCCAATGAGGGCCAAAATACAACTCCTGTGGAGGACCAAATGTCACTCTTTGGTCAACCATGAAGTTCACTGTTGCCCCTTCTACAGGCTGAACTCACTCCATCTGAAGCACTCTTGAGTGGCAACAACTCAATGTTAAAAGAAAATTATTCTGCAAGGCTGTTGATTAAAAGCCTCCTGCACTAGTTCATTTTTATTGTATTTTGTAAACATACTCCACCTTGGCACAGATTTAGTGTTTACTATTAAAAAAAAAGTATCAAACACACAAAACATTAGGCCATACAAATGCAGCAACATTTAACTCCTCCTTCCCTTAAAAAAAAAGTGTTAAATATTTAAGAAATTACTGCAATTCCTTAGTCATCAAAAGTGTTATAAACGGGTATTAGTGTACTGAGGACATTTGAGGTCACTCTTTGAGTAACAAAGCTGTCTCCTAACTTTGCCAACAATAAAAAAAAATTTTCCTAACAGGAAAAAGTTTGCAGCACAGAGCTTGTTACATAAATTCCTGTTTTTCACACAGCCAGCAGGACATTAAAGAAGCTATGATTTACTAACTTGGAAAAAGTGTTGAAGAGGTAAATCTTGTGAAAATATGCATGGCTGTTAAAGTGATGTTGTGTCTACAGACCTTTGCCAGACACAAACATGACTGATAAAAAGTGTAGTTTCAGCAATGGAACTTGGCAGCATGATGAGCAAGTGTGGTTGCAAGATTCAGAGGCATTCGTTTCCGAACCACCAGCCAAGCGCCAACGTGTAGCTTTTTTTGCTGCGGATCACTTAAAAATTGTTCTTTAAAATTTAAATTGAAGTCAACCCTTTAAACTGGATTTGAAAGCCATGAAATGCAA